ATAGGCCACCTGGGCATTTCCTTGGAAACTAATGGTTTCTTCCCACTGACTGGCTCAAATGGCTGGGAACGGGGTATGTTTTGGGGGGGTGCAGTAGGACAGGGATGAGACAGCAACTGCTCCTCCCCGAAATGCACAAGCCTGGAGCTGGGGGCTGCCTGTTCCTGAGTGTCACCTGGAGTGTTTTCAGATGTCTTTTTACATCAGAAGTGCAGTCAGTGAGTGCTGTGGGTCCCACCTGTGGGCCACTGGTCTTCATGTGAGGAACACCTCAGCCTTCTAGTCTCAGAGACAAGACAGCCAGTGGCAGGAAAGTAAACAGGATCTCAAATCTGCTCCATCTGTCCCCATCCCGTGACCAGGAATGGCCAAGCCTTAGCCCAGAGGAAACCGTTCATGGTCCTGATCCTGCACCCTCTGGTACCCACGGGCCGCCTATCGAAGGGCAATCCCATGAGCCGAGGTCTTGGCGTGCTTCTGGATATAACCCACAGTTCTCACATTAAGTCTGGTGGGTATTGATAGAGCCTGGGCAGGCAGCTCCGGCCTTCCTCGAATTGTTCCCCAGAGCCCTGCACAGCCTGGGGCAGACCCTGTTTCTCCTATTTTACAGATGGGCAGTGGGAAGCTCTAAGAGACAGGGGCCTCCCCAGGGCACACCAGTCACCCGCAGCCAGGCTGCATGCTGCCCCCCTGTATGCTGTCCTCACTTGTGAAAGGGACCCAGGGCCTGTCTCTCATGGCCTGCGCTTATGGGCCCCACACACCCACCTGTGTCATCTGAACAATGACCATTCCTGGCCAGCGCAGGGTCTAGGATGCGCTATGTTCTCAGGGTCTGTCCTGGTGCCTTTGTTTTTGTTGAATGAAGAACTGTTGTTGGTGACTGATACATATTAACTGAAATCCCTTTCATCCAGTTCCCCTTATGAGGTTCAGAAGATTCAGTGTCTGGGGGCCTGACTTAGAACACAGGGCTTATCACTCACAGCAGCCTGAAAAGAAAGTGGTCCTCAATGTAAACCTGGCATCACCAGATGCACTGCCCGCACTCCCTGGCGAACCCGAGGAATGGCCTGTCGGAGGTATGCAGGCAGGTGCCTCAAAGCTTATCTCCTCGGGTCAGCTTCATCACACCACAGTGCCTGGGCGCTCCTGCCCTGAGGTGGTCTCTGAAGGCCAAGGACACCCTCAGCATATGCATTTCCTCCCAAACCCTCCTTCCCAGAAACAGCTGTCTTCCTCAGTGTCTGGAGGAGCTGTTCTGAGGAGAACAAAATAAACCCTTATTAGTTGCAGAGCTTTGAATTTAGCTGGGAGGACCAGATACTGGCCACAGTCCCTTTGCTGAGACCCTGGGACTAGGTATCTTGCAGAATTCAAAAGCATTGGATTTAAGATTTGTCACGTTGGCCAGGTACAGTAGCTCACGCCTGTAATCCCAGCACTTTGGGAGGCTGAGGCAGGCGGATCATCTGAGGTCAGGAGTTCGAGACCAGCCTGGCCAATATGGTGAACCACCCCCACCCCTCCCTCACCCACCCATCTCTACTGAAAATACAAAAACTAGTCGGGCATGGTGGCAGGTGCCTGTAATCCTAGCTACATGGGAGGCTGAGGCAGAAGAATCACTTGAACCCAGGATGTGAGGGTTACAGTGAGCTGAGATCACACCACTGTACCCCACCCTGGGTGTCAGAGTGAGACTCTGCCTCTAAAAAAAATAAAAATAAAAAATAAAGTTTGTCACATCGATGTTCCCAGTAAGGACTCAGGTGTGGCCTGAATTCACACAGTGGTGTTTGGCACCAGAGCAGGGACAGCCTGGCACATTGGAATGGCTCAGGCTTTACCTCCACGTGAGCATGAGTGACAGCTTGTGTGAAAAGCTTCGGATCTTAGATCTTGAGTGGGCAGGCAGCTTCAAGACAGCGTGCTGAGCCCCAGAAGCCCCTTGCAGACCCACCCGGCCATCCCATCCTGGGCGGTTCTCAAAAAGGAGCCTGCTTTGCCTTCTCTACCCTGTGACTGTGTCTCTGGGAAACGAGAAGTTTCTCAGCCAGGCCTGTTGTGCTGCAGGAACTCTTGCTGTGCCATAGGAGTGCACAGAGCCCCGTTCAGAGGAGCAAATGTAAATAATGCATAACATCAGGGAATGCCTTTTTGTCTTCCTGACTGATGATTGGCCTTGCTAGTAGTTGGCAGGCAAAAGCCATTCTCAGGTCTGTTGCAATTACAGAATGGGGTTCTGTAGGTTCAGCCAGGAAGCTGGGGTGTCATGGTGCTCATGGGGGTTCCTTGGTCCCAGCAGTCACCCTAAGGCCCACGAGTCACCTATCTGGAACTGAGATCCTTTTTCTAATTAGCTGTACCCTGGGGCTGAGTCCCATGTACATTTCTTTAGGGTTCTTCTGGGAGTAGACCCCCAGGAGCTGGGGGACTTATTCTCCAGGTTGATTGGAGTGTCCTTTCCTCCCCTCAGTCTCAGGGTAACTCACAAATCGAGCCCCTGAGTCTGATCAGCCAGGTGGCTCCAGACACTCACCGCAGGGCTGTTTACATTTGAATTAATTAAAACCAAATGCAATTAACCAGTGCATTCCTCAGCCACACCAGTGACATTTCAAGTCTCAGCAGCCACACAGGGCTGGTGCCTCCTATAATAGACAGATCTAGAACATTCCATCATTGCCAAAGTATCTGTCTGTTGGACAGAAAAATGGATCAGTATATATAAATATATAGATTAAGGAATCTGAAAACAACCTGATGTCCATGATAACTAGAAAAACAAAACGTGTGTCCCGGCGCCGTGGCTCATACCTGTAATTCCAGTACTTTGGGAGGCCGAGGTGGGTGGATCACTTGAGGTCAGGGGTTCAAGACCAGCCTGGCCAACATGGTGAAACCCCGTCTCTACTAAAAATATAAAGATTAGCCAGGCGTGGAGGCATATACCCGTAATCCCAGCTATTCAGGAGGCTGAGGCATGAGAATCACTTGCACCTGGGAGGCGGAGGTTGCAGTGAGCTGAGATTGAGCCAATTCTCTCTAGCCTGGGCAACAGAGCAAGACTCTGTCTCAAAGAAAAAGAAAGAAAACAAAACGTGGTCCATCCATCCAATGGAGTATTATTCAGCCATGGAGAGGAATGAAGTATTGGCACAGGCTACAACGTGGATGCACCTCAAAAACATGATGCTGGGTAGGAGAAGCCAGATGCGAAATGTCACATCACGTGCTGTGTGATTCCATCCATATGAAGAGTCCAGATCAGGCAAATCCATAGAGACAGGAAGACTCGTGGTTGTCCCGGGGCTAGGGAGAGGGAGTAGAGAGTGACTGCTCATAGAGACAGGGTATCTTTAGGGAGGATGAGAATGTTAGCTAGTGGTGGTGGTCGCACAACCTTGGGAATAAACTAAAAACCACTGAATTATTCACTTGAAGCAGGTGAATTTTATGGCATGTTAATTATATCTCAATAAAGCTCACCTCAAGGACTGAGGGTCTTTGCTAGGGGCAGTATCTAAAACAGTGTGCCTGTAGCTTAAGGCCTTAGTGTACACTCACATTCTTATGAATTAGCACTTTTTTGCTGCCTTTTAGAGCTTAACCATTGACGGAAACTGTCTTGTGTGCTTGCAGTTTTCTGGTTTGTCTTCTGACCTCTGACTCCTCTCCTGGAAGAACAGCATCAAGAAAGCGCAGGGCAGATCTGTGGTTCATCTCTGCCCTGTTGTGGGCTTGGCACACCGTAGATACTGAGATACTGGGGAACTTCTTTTTTCCTTTTTTCTTTTTTTCTTTTGAGATGGAGTCTCACTCTTTCGTTATTGTTTTTTTCTTTTCTATTGACGGAGCTCACTTGGTCCGCCCAGACTGCGAGTGCAAGCTGGTGTGATCTCGGCTCCTGCAACCCAACGAACTGCTCCTGGGCTCTTCCAGCCGCCATTCTCCTGCTCTGCTCTCACCGAGTCAGCTCGGTGACCTAACAGGCCGCCGCCATCACACACCACACTAATCTTTTCGGTGATTTTTCTAGTAGAAGACGGCATTATCCACCGTGTTAGCGCAGCGATGGTCTGACTCTCCTGACCTCATGATCTTGCCCACCTTGGCCTCCAAAAGTGCCTGGATATACAGGTGTGAGCCACCACGCCCAGCCTCTTTCCTT